TGTACTAGTTGTTGGCCTTGGTTGCCCATAGGATGTGATATTTAGTTGTTCCTGAGTTAAATTTACCTGGTCCACTGACGATAATGGCTCACCAGCAATCAAAGACGCAATCTGTGGAGATGGATTCAGCTGAGATTCAAACATCTTTGACTGTTCTGTATAACTGTTTCGAGGATGTAAAGGTAATGATTGTACTATATTCGTCGTTTGATATTGTGGAGTTGGATGTACGTTAGTCACAGAAGTTGCTTGCACTTCAGCAGTGCTCGAATGAATAGATTTATGTTCTTCAACGGAACTAACAACAGAACCCTCAGTTGTTATTGGCTCTGGTGCTCGAAGGATAACAGCTGGTAAGGGGACCGGTTGGAAATCTACTTGGAACTGTGGTTGTGCTTCTGTTGTTGTCTGCTGCTTAGTTCGGTGTACTGATGCCAAGGTTGTTGATGTTCCAAAAACTGATGTTAATAATTTTTCAGCGTAACTGTTGTGTGAAACTGGATTTGTCGTTTGATATTGTGGAGTTGAAAGCGCGTTAGGCACAGCCGTTCCTTGCTCTTCAGCGGTGCTTGAAGGCGTAGGTATCTGCTCTTCATAGGAGCTATTCTTTGGCAAACTATTTATATTTTGATGATCCAGGATTGCATGTGCCTGTTGTATTAGGGATATCAGCCTTGGAGTGTCGTCGTCTTGAACATGCTCAGTGGTAGAATTCACCGCTGTATTGGTCGCAATAGCGTAGGATGAAACTGTTGTTTGTAACTGAGTTGTATTTTTAAGAGTCAATAAAGTTGTTGGTTGTATTCTAGGGGCCAAATACATATCAGGTACGACCGTTGTCTTCTGTTCTGTCGCTCTTAAAATTGACGTTTCTTGATCTGCTTCTTTTCTTGATTGTCCACTGGGACTATCTAAGGACGCTGATGCAGGCTGCTCTTTAGAACTCTTGTGAGACTGTAAACTTACTAGCTGTTGTTTTCCGGTGGAGCTGTTTTCAGACGCAACATTAAACGTTTCTAGAGATGCAGTCTGATTGTGTGTAGCCACAGTTGTGTTACTTGTATCGACCACAAGTATTGCTGGTTGATATCGCCGTTGCTGGTCTACCTGTGAAGCTACATCTGGAGATCGAGCCGTTACTGGTTCCTTCATAGACGCGTCCAATGCCTTTGATACAGTTGAGTAGGATTGCAGAGCTGTAAAAACTTGATGTGCGGTTGTTGTTGGATGCTCGGTGTAAGTTACTTGACGTTCTAAACTTGTCGTTGCTTGCACAATCAGCCATGCTGAAATAAGTTGAAGTCTTGTAAACAAGAACATGGTTATCAGAAAGATGAGAACGTAACGTCTGCCAATCAGGTACGCCACGACCCAAAAACAAATCAGTTGCTCGACATTAGTTGACCGTTCTGTAACGAAAACAATCACTTGGCAGTTAGATTTCTGAGGAGCTTCGGCTTTCAGTACAAAGCTGTGTAAGACTGAAATGTAACAGCGCTTGATAAAGAATATGTGCTAATTAAATTGACAAAGTAAAACGTAATCAAGGGATAGATAAGGGACAAACCTGCGAAATTAAAAGAAAAGAGTATTGTTTCGGCAACAGCTCGGAGTTATCGTTTGCTTTTTCACGGACAAATATTTGGCAATAATTCTAAAGTTGTGTATACAATTTTTTTCTCCAACTGTCTTTGGCGCTATATGTGCAATAGTGCTCGAGAGTGTCTCCAGCCGTCAAGCAACTTAGCCACTGGGGCTACACAGAACTTTTATGAAGTTCTGTAAGGTAACTGCTAGCGACCTACAACGCGTTACCCCATTCGAAACCCATTGTTGGGGTTAAATTAGATGATAGAAGGAATCATTTCCTTACTTGTCTCAACACAAACCCCCGAAAAATTTTCAACTTTTTTATACTTACCCAAAAAATGTTCTCAAAAGACGAAAGAATGTCAAGGTAGACTGAGATTTCACGATGTTTCGTTGGGTAAACGATAGTGGAAAATATATGTACACCTTTCGATTCCGAACCCAGGGCGAGCCGTCTTCTGAACATGGATGTTAAAGGCTTCTCGTAATGAAATTATGTTTTTACGGCATACGTCCTACGGTTTTTGTTTAATCTTAGGCGATGTTAATTGATCTTTCTTCGTACCGAAGTTATTATGACTGACAAACAAAAGGAACCTGAAAGTCAATCAATGCTTACAGCTTTGACCACTCCAAGAAGTTCAAACAACTATTTTGAACTGTTAGTCACCTTCAATTGCTTATTTGAACCGTGAATCATAAAAGTTGTTCGAGCAGTTAACCACTAAATGAATTGACGCGTATTTATATTTACAGTTGAGACAAAGCCTGGTCGCAAGCAGGACACGGCCAAATTATCCATTCTAAAAGGGTAATCGACTGGAAATTTTAATCAATTATTCAAAATTAACTGTTTGTGAGCCTGGATTAGCCATGAACATATGAAACAAATATAGAATGACCGTACAGAAAAATGGTCACACCAGGCTTAGAACTCATCCCGACTTAAATTCCTCATGATATGTGCTTTTCTACTTACGTACCATTTTTTTCATCCGTAAAGCATTCGAAAATAAGATATATTGTTTATGAGTAACGAGTGGTTTTTTAAATGGCCGTTAATGACCGAGAGTAAGAATTATTTTCATTCTGTCGCGAAGCAGTATAATTTCTCGCAACTTTCTTCAAGTTATCGCTTTTTCGTTAAGCAGTTCCACTTATGACCTAAGCCATCCTAGCTAGATAAACAATTGAAACATTAAGAGTTTATCATGAGTGAAAGAAAACACGTACGATGAGCCTATGCTTATTACTGGCTAGAACATTCTAAATAATTTATTCAATACAATATTTCTCATTACAGTTACAGCAGAACACACCTAAGACATTTACCTATCTCTGCAAGGAGAGAGACGCATTTCGCGCGGTCCCGTTTCGTTTTGTCTTGCCAGAATAATAGGGGAAAAATGTTCACACTTGATATGAGAAATATTGTAATTTTGCTGCATGACACGTGTCATATCAACTCCTATATCCAGACGACCTCTACGCTAACGGTAAAAATGGAACATATTACCGTCAGATACCGGCCTTTTTAACGCACCTTTGAAAGCATTCCGTAAAGAGTTTCAAGCTGACGTTTCGAGTGTTAGCCTTTCGTCAGAGCGATGAAGGTTTAATGCTCGAAACGTCAGCTTTGAAAATTTTTACGGTGGCCAATTTACTAAATTACCCTGTTATATTCTCCCACCGACGCAGCACCACAGTTTCTCTAGTAACTTGCCCTCTTTATGAAAGCATTTACTCGGAATAAGAATATTTTCCAACTGGAGTAAAACATAAGTTACCCGAGGCGAAGTTTATTTTTGCCGTTTTTTTTTTTTTGACGTCAAAACGACGTGCTTGAACCAACCTCACTGAGGTAAAATTTTGACTTCATAGAATTTGTGTTTTATGGAAGTTAAAAATACTACCTAACCCAGCCCCATTGTAGATTAATCTAATAGAGTAGATATAAGTTATTTGCTTTATAATACCTTGATCATTGAGTGAACTTTCGCGACTCTTGTGCACACTTTGTTATCCATCAAAATCTGTAATCATGCATGATGGCCGAGTTTGCGCCTGGTCGAGTTCGTAAACAAAACACCTATTTAGGTCATCAAGAAAAGATGTTCCTGTTAGATCTGTATCACATGGAATGATGACAATTGTTGTGTGAAGCCCTCAGGCACCCCGCATAAACTCTGTAAGAAACTGTTCAGTAGGGCGTCATCACTAACTACATTTAGCATAAAAATAGTTCCGCTTTTGCTAACAACCGACAAGGGGAGCAAAATTTACCTTAATGTTGCATAAACCTAAATCTGATCATTGGAAAGGGAAGATTCTTGAGATTACCCGTGACTAATTCGTTTTTTATGTTAAGTAATTTATTTCAAAACAAGGTATCTTTAATTTAAAAATGTGGCCTAATGGATGTCGCTGACTAAAACACACGGGCTCAAATTCCCAACCACCTGCTGATAAGTCGGCTGAATGTGAACACATCTCCGTGACGTTAGTAAACATTACTTCTAACATAGTAGTCCATTTATTCGATGACGCACCGCATCATTCAAAGGTATCGCTTGAAGTTTAATAAGTATCATTTTTCAGAAAATGATAACAAGGAAAAGTCCACCGTAAACAGGAAAAATGTTCAAAATGCTTTACATCGTCTGTTTCGATAGGAGAAATTGGCGTACAATTTGCAAATATTAAAAAAATTACAGCTTCTCTTTTGATATTCGAGTACATTCGAGTGCGTTGTTATTAATGCGAGGAAAACATTTTTGTTGATATGGATATGAATTGATCAACAAGCCTGTTTTAAGGCCCAGTCAAACGTACGCAATATTTCAACGCGGCATGTTGCAGCCTTGTTGGATCGTGTTGTAAATATTGCTACAAAAATGATATTTTAGCATTTTCAAACATCTCGCAACAGTTTGCAATTGCAAACGGGAGGTCAAGCGCGTGTCGCGCATAACACGCTGCGCGAAGCGTTGTTGCAGGATAATGGGTTGAAGTGTTAAGTGCATTTGACTGAGCCTCAAGAAAAAATTTTCCCGCTCAGGTTACTTTTATTTCACACGCGTTATTGAAAACCCCCAAAAATACACCAGCTTCGCCGGTTATACTTCAATTCACCCCCAAAAAGGCTTTCCATAATTTGAAGAGTGTGTAGATCCCTCTTTCCAGAGGGATATGTGCACCATATGATATTTTTTTTGTTATTCAGTAGTGATCCCAGTTCTTTGAACTTGTCTAGAACAGAGAGAGTATAAGATTTTTAAAGATTTACACGGCTCTAGGTTTCCTTGATCTGTCAGGAACGAAAGTGAAATTTTACGAATGGAATGAACAAATGAGATGGGAATGAGACCAGAAGAGGACTGGGCACCAATGTATCGCTCGGCCGACACGTTGCTTCAAAACATTGCTTCGTCGGTCTGATGAGTGTAGCGATATGCGGCAACGAACTCAAACATCAGTAATTTCTTTAGTTTTTCTTTTTATCTGCGTTAGATGTTTTAATCCTTTTGACGAGGGGCAATATGATATTAATTGGGGTGGACCGGTATCATTGCGAGAAGGACAAGTCACAACGGTGAGTTGGCATGATAAATGCTCACTACTGTAAATCGCTTGTTCTGTATAACAATTGAGCAACTGTTTTGTAATATTTGCCACAAAATCTGCTACCTTTTGTCAAGATCATGAAATGAATTCCTGTAAGCAACAGTTCCGGCCTAGTTCATTGAACAGTTAGAAATATTTACCGAAAGAGCCTAAGTTTTAGAATATCAGATGGAAACGGTGTTCTGTATATTTTTTAAGCTTTGGATCTGAGCTTAAATAATATCCTACCGGCACAGAAACGTTATGAATGGAATCTTTTATCATTTTGTAAATCCTAGGAGATAGTCTTTGGCATCAAATTGCTTCAAATAATTAGATGGAAGAGAAGAACTGCCAAAAGTCAGGAAGAATCTTCCAAACGACGCATTCAAAATTGTCCCTAAAATTCTTATTCTTAGCTTGAAATACACAGATTGGAAAATGTTGTCATGTCCCATTGTGTATTTGTTTGTAGCAGAAGATATTCTTTGATACATTGATTATCAAATTTATATACAAGTATTTAATCTATCTACAATTCATAAAATCAACAGTAAAATTGAATAGAAATTTTCTTATATCAACCAATGTCAATTGGATTTAAACTAAAATCTATAGTATGGTTGAACAAATACATGCAATGAAATGTTTTAATGGGGTTTGCCATTCATCACATCAGTAGGAAGAAATTTAACATTGTCTCTGTGTCTGTAAGATACCATGCACCAGGACTGTAGATAGGAAATGGGCCTGCTGGCTGAAATTTCAAATGAGGCAGCTTAAAGAAGGAACTTTGCAGCTTCTATTGTAATGCTTTACTGAGCAATCACTGGCAAAAATCAAGCTGGAGATTTCTACTTTTTCGTTCAGTCAATTTAGGCGGCAGCCAGGGCTTAGCAGAGCCAGTTGATCAATATTTCTTTCCTTGTGCCAGTTTAAACATTCTCATACTCCCTAAGCTCATATTTTGAGCTAAATGGCAGCCAGGGCATGGCAACAATCTTGCCTGTACATTTATGAAATGAGCCAGTTTTTTCTTGTACTAAACATTGCTTTGCCTTCCATGCCACATGCATTGGGCATGCACAACATTCCTGTAGATCAAAAACATCATCACAGGTACACAGGAAAATTTCACATGCATGAATCGGGTGAAAGAAATTTTTCAAACTGGTTGAGCAGTCCTTTTACCTGTGTAATTTTCCAGAATTTATTGCTGACACAAGGATAAGAGGTACCACAGGCAGTCTATTTGACTGATTATTGTCATTAAAGGAGAGTTCTAACATATTACTTTTTGCTAAGTGAAAATAACGACTTACCCATAAATAGTTAAATGAGGTCTCACCTAAACTGCCATTTTACACATGCAGTGGGCTGCAGGTATTCTTTATGAGAGGGTTGATTTAATGAAATAGTCATGTTCCTTCCACTCTTAGCTTTTGGCCCTCTTGAAACTAGTCACAAAAAGAAATGTTCAGATTAAAGGTTCAGCTAAATTCAAGATAGTTAAGAATGTGGTTTTGTTAAGCAATGGCTAAACTTTGTTTAAATAGCTGGCTCATAATTGTTTGAATGAATGAAAAATTAATTGAAAGAATATCTCATTGCTTTCAGAATGGTGAGGATTTCTTAAGCAGTAGAGAGTCAGTGGTAATGATAACAAAGGATAATGAAAAATACAGATGTATACTACCTAAAGATGAAACACTTAATGAGGTAAGTTGATTTAACATTGGACTACCTGTTGCTAATTTCTGAACCACATGATGTGATTATACTGAGGAGAATTTGGTTTTATCAACTGGGTTGATAATGTAAATTGACCTTGGTAAAAGGGTTTCTAAAATTATTTTTTAAGAGTCATTTTCTTTGACATAGAGCTAAATAATGGTTATTAACCCTTTACACCCTAACATCAGTATGCATATTCTCCATACTGTTCTTTATACATTTCCTAAGGTGCTGACAAGGAGAATTTGTTTACCAATCAAATGCTTCTCTTGTTGGTGATCGTTTCCTTTATTCTCATGACCCAATGTGTGATTCAAGGATGAGACTGTAAGGAGAAATTTCATGCTGATCACTCTTAGGGGTCACGGGGTTAAATTATTCAAAGAGTGAGCTCTTCTGTAGGAGATTCAGCCAAACCATATGTTGACTTTTTAATTTGCATTATTTGTAGAAAAAATATTTGTACAATGAACCAGATCCAGAGATACTTTTAGAGTCTCTTCTAAGGAGAGGAGAGTGCTCATACAGGGTGAGTTCTGCCCTCTAGTTGTTACACATTATCTTGTCAATTTGTACATAGAATTTGTTCATAGATCATGATAACAACTTCTACCTGTCAGGTAAATAAGTTATAAGTTTGAGTAATTTCTCATGTAAAATGGTGTGCATCACTCATGAGAGTTACAGGATTAAATTTGAGGCTAAAATTTTACTGTTGGCAATCATTTCCTGCCACCAAGGTTCCAAAAGGAAATAAAGATTTTTTTTAACTTTAGGCCCTGCTTCTAATGATTTTTGTTTTGATTTGTTTTTGTTTTTGTTTTGTTTTGTTTTTTTTGCTTTTGCTTTGTAGTTAGATTCATATTGGACATATGAACTCTGTCATGGAAGACATGTCAAACAGTTCCATGAGCTTAAAGCTGGTGTACAGGTTTGTAAAGTCTTTCTTTCTGATAGAAAAATTTTAAACATTTTCTTAGTTTAAGTAGACATTAGTTTATGTAGACATTCTCAATGATTATTTTTGAGGGAGAAGTATGCTTTTGAAATCATGAATATAATTAGTTTTCATTTCTGCCATTTAATACCATAATGAAATTATGATGGGCTGCATTTTGAGATTCTAAGGAGTAGCCTTATCTGTTGGAAATTTTCTCTTCAAGTGTGCTAAAAATTTTGGCTGCTGTTACTATCATTTTAATTTTGCTCAGCTGTCTGACTCCTCATTTATGAAGCAACTAAGGCTTCCTTCTTTTCCATCTGATCCAAGCAATCTGTTCTCATAAATAAGACCCACCCAAATGGCATTCTTGCTTCAAATGATGAAATTTTTTTTCAATGACCAGTGCCAATGTCATTCCTACTATTTTTGATGTAAGGCTCATAACGCCAGGTCACTAAGTTGATTTCATAATGGACTCTTCCAAGTTTTATTTCTGAATGGTCATGCTCAAAATGCACCTTAACCTTCTATACCTTATCATGAGTATGCATTTCTCCATTCTGGTCTCTTTGCATTTTCTCAGTTACTGGTAATATGTTTAACAAACAAGAGCCTCTTTATTTGGTGATCATTTCCTTTTTTCTCTGACCTTAATGTTTGATTTAGGGCTGATATTGTAGGGAGAAATTAGAACTCTTGGAGTTCAAAGAGTTCAATCTCATAGAAACCCAGCCAAGAGGAAGGCTGACTGTTATTCTTTTTCCATCTACCTGTCATGTATTGCATGGTTTTCTTTGTACTGTATGCATGACCTAGAGCACTTTACTTTTTAGGATTCAAAAGTGCAGGAATATTACTTAGGAAAACTAGAACCCAAGATCCTAGACAAGAAGTCCTCAGGTACAAACGTGTGTGGATGTAATTATTTTATCCCAGTAAATTGGCCATGAGTGAGTCCCTAAGATCCTCATCTTAAAATTCAAGCTAAATGCAAACCTTTTCTTGTGAGTTTGGTTGTTTTAACCCTTAATTGACCACCAGAAGTGATTAACATGTTACTTCTCCCAACATTATCCAGCCATTATCCAGCAAACAGATGACGAGAATACTAAAACTTGTCAGACCTGTACAAGTTGCTATCTTGATCTAACACCAAATTGAGAGTGTCTCAGCAAGAGGGGAGAATTAACTATTACATCTTGAGAGTTAAAGGGTGAAAAGCAAGGCTTTGGTAATCTTCAATATGGCATAATGTGGACTGCCTCATTTTATTTTGTTATCTCAAATTTGTTTGTTTGTGTTAGGGTAGGAACAAACAGGTGAACCTGTTTTTTTAACCCTTCCTCCCTTCCCTCCTCTCCCTTTCCCACCCCATCCCCCAATGTAAACTATGTTTTCCATACAAACCCATAGCTTGATTTGGCATTGTGGTGTTCGCCTGGCTCAGAACTGTCGCTTTTGTTCAATTGTTTTGACTTACTCTGACTTCTGAATAAAGGGGGTAAGTTTTTTAAAAAACTGTGGTGCTGCGTTGGTGGGAGAGTATAGCAAGTAATTTAGTGTTAATGACTGAGTTGAAAACGTAAATGGGCCACCGCAAAGAGTGAATAGGCTGACGTTTCGAGCTGACGAAGGGCTAACGCTCGAAACGTCAGTCTGACACTGACTTCTGTTCTTGAGTATGAGTTTTGTGTTTATATGTTCATCTGTTGGATTGAAAATAATGTTGGATGCTTGTCTTTCAGGTGATCCCAAACCTTTAGATTCGCCTCCTATGGAAGCAGAAGATCCTAGCAAGATTGTAAGTTAGAATTGTGCCATACTAAAGCAACTAGTTGAGGTTTTCCTTCATGCTCAATTTAAGTGTGGATAGCTAAAATAAGTGCATTGTCACAATTTCTTAATAAAATCAGTTTCATTTCACCTTTGAATGAAATTCGAGCGAAGAAATACTCCTCTCAGGTGGACTGCAATTTTAGAAGTTGCAGAAAAGAAGCCTGAAAAAATCCAGGCCTCGACGGAATTCGAACCCGTGCCTCCTCGATATTAGTTGAGCGCTACAACCAACCGAACTACGAAGTCACACGCTGGCAGAGTGGCAAATCTCAGAGGGTTTGTCTTTCTCGTAAAGAAATCTTATCGCAATTTCTCAAGGCTTCTCGAATTTCTTATCCAGCGGATAAGTGTTAACAAAATGTACTGCGCTTTCCGCCAGAAAGAGATTTGTCCAGTGGATAGCGTGAACCAACCTTCAAGCAGCTGGGGCCTGATCTGTCACGTTCTGTGGATCTCACTGTTTTACTTTAGTTAGTAAGGCTGTTTAGATCAGGGAACTCTCTGATGCCAATGGCGAACTATCTCACTAGCGTCAACAATGACCTCGTAATGGACGAACTGATCATACTACTCAGTCACTGATTGATCTACTTGTTTACCACTATTGCCAGATTCCATCTCGCAAGATCAATGGTCAAGTGTTTCCTTACTACAAAGTGGTCATGGATAATGGCACCGCTTGTGATCTGCTTGGCAATAAACCCCGAACAACAAATATAATTTACATGTGTGCACCGAGGTCAAGTAACGAGGTAAGACATTGAGGCAAATTTGTCCATACTACGCTAGATGCATTTGAAAACGACTTTTCTTTCTTTTTTTCCGGTAAACGCAATTTAGTGTCTTAGGTTCTTGTTATTATTATCATTAATTACGATTAGTTTTACAGTTGTTGAAAATGAATTGCGATTGTAAATTGAAACCCATGTTCCTGAATGAGAACGAAGCAAAATAGCAGAAGGGGCCAATGATAGATAAACACGAAAAGTGATTGCCCGAAGCGCGGGAAAACGCGGGTGACCAAGTCGTGACGACTTGTAGTTTTATTTACATCTGATTGGCTGAGAGGATGACGCGAGTTGTCAAGGCCAATCACAGACCATGATGACGTTTACTCGAAAACTGATGTGAAACGGTTTTCTTGGTTCAGCGTAGCTGTAAGCTAAAAATAGCTTGGGTTGAGGACTGAAAATGACCGTAATTGTAGAACAAAGGAAATAAATAGAGGGATAAAATACCGAAGGAAGTAGAAAACAGAAAACTATGGGTGCTCTGTTTCAGATCCAAAGATTTGTTTTTTTTCCCTAAACTTTATTAACAAATTAGGGCTCTTTTTCAAAAGTTGTCACGTGGGCGAATTATCATGTTGTATTTATCAACGCACATTTTTCTTTGGAACCGATTACTGGGTGCTTGTTTATTGTCCCGATGGATCTTCGTGGCTCTTTTTATTATTTTATTTATTGTTTATCGCAGTTCATGGCATGTCAGTGTGCGCGTTGGAACCTTTTTTCTTTTTCTATCTTTTATTTTTTTGTAAATTAACGGCTTAGTACCTTGTGATCTTTGCCATTGCTGCCTGTCCTCAACAAAACCACATGTGCTTAAAAAAGTTTTTTTTTTAAATTTTGGTCAGTATAGAATAAAGGACATCGGAACATATATTATAACTTTAAACGGCTACGCAATTGCATTTAGTTTTGCAACAATTGTAGAATCTCTGAGTAGACGATGCTGTATTTGGTTCAATGTAGATTTTGCAATCGCCATTTTCAGTAGTCTTCTCTTCACTATCTGATGTCAGGGTCTCGTCTTCCTGAACTTCTGTTAGTGTTCGTTTCGATTGTTCGTATTCCTCAGCAGACATTTCAGGTGTTGGCTTTGGTGTTGTTTTGTCAAAGGACGATAAGTCCGTCTTCATCGCGTCGTAGAGGGAAATGTCGCAAAACTTCTGACCCCAAAGAATTTCATCCGCCAAGTAAGAAGTTTTAGCCTGGATAACACTACCTGTTGATTCCACTACACCTTCTAACACAACGATGAATTCCATCCGGGAATTCGCCAGCTGTTGAGGCCCAATTTTGTACAGCGGACTTTGCTTGTCAATGACATGCACTACTGTCAGAGGTATCAGCAGAAACGGCTTGATGAGCTCGTCACTCTCCTGTTCATGCTCGATAGTGATCGGAATTTTTCTTTGAGACTTCAACACTTCGTGTCCATTTTCGTCGGTCTTAAAACGAAAGCAGTGGAGAGAGATTGTCGCGTCTATCAGTTGGCTCTTACGCGCGTCAGCAACCCGAAACATTAATGCCAACTGGTCGTTGTGTAGCTTCACGACAGCACACTCCGAGAACAGGACCATTTTGCTCCTGGGATTAGCGCGGGAGAGTTTTGCGAAAAAAAAGCCAAGGAGCGACGTAGTTAAGAGGAAGCCAGCGAGAGACTGGAGAAGAAGGCAGACCACGGCCTCAGGGCATTGAGGGGTTATCTGAAGTAAAACAAGAAAAGAAGAGAAAAGTTTAAAAAAATATATTTATTCGCGTAAGTTTCACTTGTTTGCGGAATGTGTTTTTCACGACTTTGTCGATTGCGAGACAACACTGCATGGCTCAATATCTTGTTTCAGATATTAAGTAGGACGAATTTTGTAAAGAGTGGAAAAAGTCCTTGATTCTCAATTTAATTAAAATGGCCGGAAAGTTTTATTATTTAAATTTTAAAACTATGTAGACCCTCCTCTTGAATTAAAACAGGACAGCTCTACGGGCTCGCTAAGTTACCGAGACCTTCGAGAAATGGTTCCCTGGCCGAGTCAAATTGTTGTGTTGTTGGATAAAACGTTTTACTATCACGATACCTCTCTCCACCAAGGAGTATAAATGGGTATCGGAATCGCGATGAAATGCTGGGGAGTTACTTTGTGAGTATGCTTCAGGGGTGGGGGAAGGGAGTAGGGATACTCCCAGTCACTTCATGCTTCAGAAACTGGGTTATACTCCGACTGGATGTGTCGCTAGGCCCGAGTACAGACTGATTGAGACTTGTAGACCTTTTTACAACAAGAGAATTATGCGGTGTGTTTGTAGTGGTTTTTCGACCAGTACCGGACGAAGATGAGCAAAACAAAAACAATCCTGAACCACTTTTGACACTGAATCGGATGATACTTTTTATCACTTACAGTCCGCTTTTTGTTTCAACAGGTTCATCAGTACTTAAAAAGGACACTTAAGTTTTAAGTTCATCCTCGGCAGATCCTCGGATTGGCGCATGAAACGCTTATTTAAAATTCTCATTTCATTTGTCCAAATCGTGGCGAGATATAATATTTGTTGTTGTTGTTGTCGTTTTTATATATTTTTTTTAATTGTTTCTTCCTTTTCGGATTGCAAAATTTGCGCGTAAACAGCGACATAAACGTTGTGTTCATACACAACGCTTATCGTAAGCACACGCGATGGGGGGGGGGGGGGGGGGGGAGTGCTGCTCCCCTCGGGCATGTCTCGCCCCTCGTGTTCGCCTCGCGCCTGCTCCAATTCGCATGAAAATGCAGGAAAGGGGAAGAACAAGAGCGCCATACCTGTCGACCGCCATAACCAATAGTAGTCTGCGTTTCCACAGAGAGTAAGAAAGCAGAGGTCCATGAATCAACATTGTCCACGCAAGTGACCCCACTATCGAACCGAGACCGGAGCCAAAAGATCGCAAACCAAACTGTGCCGAAAAATGCCCAGCTGAAGATGAAAACAACCAAGTACATCCCAATCACCAAACACCAATTAGCCTCGACGAAGGTCGTGAAAAAATCACTCATGGTGAGCTTTTTCTTCTGAGGTACTCTGGAGGGCTGCAGAGTCACTTTGCCACTTTTTTGCATCAACCGATTGGCCTTTGATGGGAGAGTGTTACTCTTTGTTAGCGAGAAATCTGAAAAGATAGGGTAAAAAGTTATGTAAATTTTTTAGAATTGTTTCTGGAAGAAATGCTCGCCGAAGTTGGGCTGGGTCTGCATGCCATTTATCTCTCCAAAATGCCTCAAACCTCTTGCTCTTCTTCAAGTTGCACAATTGAAAGTATTTCTAGTTGAACTCGTGAAAAGGAAAGAAAAGAAAGACCCAATGATAAGAAAAATAAAACAAAGGAAAACGACTTTATTAGCGTTTTTCCGAATAATTTTCCTTGAGACGTTTCCAGGAGGACTCGCTTTCATGTACTCGATCCAGGTCCACTGGCTAGCGTCCAAACACATTAAAGGTTGACTTGCCAGACATTTCACTCTATTTCCTGCTATTAACAACTCTCTCACTGATTCAACTCACCTACTCTCACACATGGCATGTCTTACCTGGATAACTGAGATCACGACAATCCAATTTTCTTTTGGGTATCGGTTTCATAATGTACGCCATAACTGCAGAAAAATTATTTCGTATTTATATTACCCCAAAACTGTCTTTATATTATCGTTGTTTCAGAAATTTTAAAATCCTAGACTGTCATCTATTACAGTTTTGTTGACAGTAAAGCAGGCAAGGAAAGTTAAGGTTCTCTTCCGTCAAGGAATTAACGTTAAACGTTTTCGTTAAACTTACTGATGCTATACAGCCATTGAAGCAGTTAAAAGTGAAAGAGAACTTTAAGCGTGACATTGTGGGTACAATTCCAGCATGAAGTCAAAATGAAGTAGTGAGCTAAGATCTTGGCCACATCTGTACACTTCTACTGGCTAAACGTATGTAGTTTTTCCTTTGAAGAGGTGCACTTTATTGTACTCGAGTCGTGAGTTACAGTTTATCAATACGGTAAAACCGCCCTTTGCAATAGATTTCTATAAAAGTCGGTTATTAGCGGTCTACCGCCGTCTGTTTAGCCTGCGAGCTGCCTCTCTCGCTGGGGTTTCGCCTTATGGCCACTATTATGGCACAGTCGCCTATCATACCTTCGGCAATCATTGAACCCCTACCTTTGGGGAGACGTGCAACCGAGTGCTTCAAGAATACGTTACTCGCAATCCGGCGATCCTGACTTTGACTCCTTCGCTATGCTCGTAAAGAACAAACTGGTGCTCCTCCTACCTGTTACTTTAAAGCCAAATATTTATCATTGAAAGTTTTGCTCAGCCTAACGAGCGTTTATGTTATGAATGCTGCCGATGTAAACGCCGGGATTACGTACTTGAATTTACCGTTCAGAAGTTCGACTTACCACGATAAACGAGAAGATGACCGATTCACTTTGATGACGATCAGAGAAAAAAAATATTTGCTTGTAGATGTAGGACTGCTGCTGCTTTTAGGAGAGAGTAAAGTTGAATAATAGAGTCATTTCAAGCAAGGTCGTACTTTAAAAGCGTTTGTGATCCGAAAGTGGAAGAAAGTTAAACTCCGCTGTCAAGTAATGTTGAATACAGAATTAGATGGAATCAACGTGGTCGGAATTTTACGGTGAATAGCAGTGAAATCCCGATCTAGCGCCGGATGTGACGACAGACTTAAACAAATACGTTTGTGCCTGAAGAAATAAGTTCTAGTGTTGGAAGACCTGAGTTATTTTTTTCTATATATACACGATTAAGCTGAGCCAAACATGGATTAAATTTTTACTGAACCCTTTAACACCAAATAATGACTAGCATCTAATTTCTCCTTACAATATCACCCCTGAAGGAAATGATCATCTACTAAAAAAAGCTGTTGATTGTTAAACAAATTCTCCTTGTCATCGCCAAAGGAAACATTAGTTTGTCCGTGTTAAGTTTCAGCGTGTGCGTTTTTCTGACGTTCAAGTAAATCCCACGTGTTTCTTTTTCGGGTGTATTATTCCCTCGTTCACGTTCATGTCGAAACCGAAAAACTTAGTGGTGTAATCTTTCGAAATTCAGAAGCTTAGAACAATGCCTTTTTTGTAAAGTCGAACAAATAAACTGTGAACGCAAGTGGTTGAGGCGTTTGTTTATATTTTGTGTTGCAAAACATATTTTCGAATAGTTATAGAGCGCCTCTGAGAGCTGTCAACTTCTATTCCCATCATCTGCGTTGTAACCTTCCCCTCAAGCTACTCTACAGCTCTTTGAGAATGAATAATGTTAATGTTAAATTAAGATAACACCCCAAAGCTGATAAGTTTGTATTTTCTAATGATCCGTTCGCAGGTTGTGTTAACATTTTAAACACACGGTTTTTTCTAAAATTCTCCTCCAAGAATTGTAAGGCTGAAAATAGAAAAAAATTGCTTTATCAACTGAGTTGGTAATGTAAATTGGCCACTGTAAAGAGTTCAGCTCTAAAGCTGACGGTTCGAGCGTTCGTTGTTTCGATTCGTTCTGACGAAGGGCCAACTCTCGAAACGTCAGCGTTTGAAACTCTTTACTGTGGCCAATTTACGTTATCAACTAAGTTATAAAAACCAATTAGGCCATTTTACAGTTGGGCACTTAGTCGCGAAGCCTTTGATTTGGAGTGAGGCTGAAGGTGACCTTGTTGTGATAAAGGTCAGTATCTAGTTAGCATGATAACAAAGTAATTTACATTTGAAAAGCAGCAAGGTTTGTATCATAACAAGGTCACCCTTAGCCTCACTCCTATTCAAAGGCTTGGCAACCAAGCACACAACTGTAAATGGGCTATTGTCTTATAACACACCTTCCCCTCCCCCCTAATCGACGCATCATCATAGTTGTTTTTAGAAATTTACCCCCCTTTAAAAATAGAGTCCAACCTCTGGAGTCCTTGTGTGGAAGTTCTGCACCGCAACATAACAATACTAAATCATGTTCTTGTTTCGATCATCAGATTATTTCTGTCAAAGAGATCCATACCTGCCACTATGAGGTTGAAGTGTTCACGCCACTTATTTGTGCCAACCCAGCATACAGGTTTGTTTCTACTTTATCTTTCGAATGAGACTCCGATGGTCTCAATAACCTAATAGACTCGAAGCGTAGTTTTGAAATTGTTAGAGAACGGTCATTATTTATCGCGCAAGGGGGTAGGGGAGGGGAGGGGGAAAGGATTTTGGTTGTATCACGATAACATTTGCCCGACAAAGCTCTGTAATATTTTTAAAATTCCCACCCATGATTGGCAGTTAATTTTCGGTTGTTCCTTCTTTGGCTTTGAATAGGAAAAAAAATGATAAAAAGATGAAACCAGATCAGTAAAATTATAATTTGCGAATTAAGAAAAACACAAGAGGTACAAGGTTACCAGAACGAAACGGGAATGGTTAACCCTAGGACCTTTAGAGTGGCTGGCGTCTAATTTCTCCTTACATTATCACTCTTGAATCAAGCTTAAAGGTGATGGGAGTAATAGAAATGATCACCTATTTAGGAAGCTTTTATGTTATCACAGTCTCTTTGTCAATACCTCAGGAATTGTAAAGAGATTAGTGTGGAGAATATGAAGGCCTATGTTAGGGTGTAAAGGGTTAAGAACCAAGAAGACGAGCGCAGATTGCAAATTGGATGCGCAAGTCATTACACAGCTGCTTGTAGATTTGTGCAAAAATATTGCCGACTCGTTTTATTGAGATACAACTATGGCACTGCTCCATCAGTACTGTTTTAAGCAAGTGGAAAGTGATGTTTGTCGTTGCTGTATATAATTCTAAGTTCCTGTTTATTTTTTTCAGTTATCGTGAAAAGCCTGTGCATCATATAAGTTGTCACTCGATGGAGGGTTCACCAGAGTGAGTAACCGTTGTTCTTAACATCTCTAATCAGGAGAATTTTCAATTCGATATCTTAAAGCGAAAGAAAGAAATCGCGGAGGTCCATCAGAAAAATCTCAAATGGAGCAATTTTTATTTGAGTTTCGAAAGTTATCCTTGTGTTCCTTAAGTTTTGCGTAACTCCGCTCTGTGATTGGCCTAGAACACTCGCGCCACTCTCTAAGCCAATAGGATTTAAAAGTAAACCTAACTCGCGTTTTCCCGCCCTTCAGGCAGATTGCTTTGAGTTCTTAGTGGCCCCTTCTGATATTTTTCTTTACTCTGAGTGGCTGTTTTGATAAGCATGATTTTGGTATTTGGATACTGTAATTATAAACTAATCAAGAGTCGAATTAGAAAATAACCGAAACTGCCGGAAGCAGAACGAAACGGGAGTCACGAAGTTGCGCTTAACATAGTGTTGTGTGTTTTCTTCCCGTTCAAACGGGGGTAAATTTTAAACGCTTTAGATTTTTAAGGTAGGAAAAATACATGATGACGCGGCAAATGACAAATCAAAAATTTATGGCACTCAATTTTCAGGCAAATTTTGTGGAGCTAATTCCTATCGTAGCCACCGATTTTCATCATGACATCATTGATTAGTAGTGTAACGTTTATGGAAAGAAAGATGAATGTCCCTTCAAGTTCCTTCTCAAGATTAGGCCAGCTCTGTGTTCGCTAAAGTTCTCAGGCCTAGAAATGGTATCAATTACGGTTCTTTAATTCTATTTGTAGTGAGCCCAGAAGTTATTCTGAATTGATGGAGGAGAAATTTAGTGTTGAGGGATTCTTGGTAAGAAAACTGATTATAATTAGCCAGTTATTAATGTTCACCAAGTATTGCCGCGTATAGGTGTTTCAAATGTTTGAAAAAATTCGTAGTGACATTTGTTTGTTTAATCCTCCTATAACTTGTTAAAAGATGTTTCCGTTTTTTTATGACCCATTTAACAAGTGAAGCAAATATTCGGCGGTTTTCCCTTTTCCGTCAAGGTCCAAAGTCTTTCACTGACCTGTTTTACTCCTGAGATCGCTGGCCCAACTACTAACAGAGAACTCCTGTCCAGAGATGGAACACCTCTGGTTAGAGATTCTCAGCCGAAACAAGTACAGCAAATCGTTGGTGGGCGTGATTTATAATTCTGAACGTATTCTAAATCCATCTAGCTGGTTAGATAGCCTCAAGAGTTTGCTAGGTCATCTCACAGTGTCATGGGATGGCATGCTAATCCTTACTGGCGATGTCAATATCGACATGCTTAGTCCTCTCCACTACCTTACAAAAAGGTACCAGACCATCCTTGACGTCTTTGGATTAACGCAAGTAGTGACGCATCCAACAAGAATTACAAAGACAGCGGAAATTCTTATAGATCACCTCATCAAAAACTACCCACAGAAGGTTACGGACACAGGTATAGTACCTTATTCCATAATAAGTGATCACGACGCCATCTACGCTTGCATCAATGTCCGTTTGCCCCGCTTTCAACCGTGGTTAATCGCAAACGGGATATGAAAAACTTCAAAGAGGAGTCTTTTGTAGAGGATTTCTCTACGCTTCCCATGTCCATCATATCATATTCGGACGATCCTGACGAACAATTAGAGACCATCAACTCCCTGATTCGAGAATGCATAGAAAGACACGCCCCGTTAAAAAGGATACGTGTTACTGGGCCACCAGTGCCTTGGACGAAATGTTCCAACATTAGAGACCTACAAAAGGAGAGAGACACTGCCAGATATGAGGCCCACAGTACCCCTTCTGTTACAAAGTGGGACTACTTTCGTTCAGTAAGGAACAAACTGAAAGCTGCTATCCGAACTGCCCGTAAAACTTTTATTGAGAGAGTGCTTTACTCAAACAAGTCAAGTGAAGTATGGAAGGTCATCCACAGAATTCTTAAGCCTAGCCCAAAGCCTTTGTGTTTCAACCCTGATGAGCTGAATGGTCATTTCACGTCTACAGCGCAAAGAACTCTTAACATAAATGCGACCTCCTACGTTGAGCTGACGGAACTGATTGAAAATCTCCTCGATGATTTGGATGACCATACTCGATTCCACATTTCTCCTGTTACTAGAGAAGAGGTATTCAAAGCGATTAAAACCTTAAGGTCCGATTGTTCCACGGAAGCTGATCAGATTCCACCTACATTCATAAAGCTAGTGGCTGACCACTTGGCGGGCCCCCTCACTAGGATCATTAACGGTTGCATAACTGAAGCATACTTCCCAAAGCTTTGGAAGATCGCCAGAGTGTCGCTTATATCCAAGGTAGACAACCCAACGACCAATAACGAACTAAGACCAATCTCGATATTACCGGTGTTGTCTAAGGTGTGCGAAAGGTTGATCGGCTGGCAGATGTCGGAGCTCGCAAATAGCGCCTCTCTTCTTCGTGATAACATTTCCAGTTTCCGTAAAGAGCACTCTACCACTACTGCCCTTCTTGGAGTAAGAGATGACATAAAGCTATGAAAAGGAGAGAGGTCACCTTGATGATTCTCGCCGATTTTTCTAAGGCTTTTGGTACGGATACGGTTTGTTTCAAGACAACGCTAAAGAAATTCAACAAACTCGGCTTCTCCAAAAACTATTTAAAATGGCACCTTTTTATTGCGCGGGGTTAACATCCACATCTGCTTCAGCATATTCAGTTTTCCGCTGCCAGCTTTGTCACGGGTCACTATATGAAGTCTGTGAATACTCTATTTAAATTAGGCTGGTTACCAATGAGAGAGCGTCGGGACTGGCATTTAATTAAAGAAGCACACAAAGCCTTGTATGTTGAACATTGGCCCAGGAATCTGAGGCTTGAAGCAGTACAACACGGTAGATGCTTACGTTCCAGCGAAACTATTCACCTTAAAATACCACTGGAGGCAGGCACATTTGAAGACTGTGCCGCCAAGCCTTTTAACTCCCTCCCAGCTGCAGTGAAATCCTGCCCGGACTTTAATACCTTTTCAAAAGAGACTCATAAAATTTCAAAAGCCGTAGTAGATATTTCGTAGAGATACGCATGTCTATATTATTATAAGTAATCCTGATTTATAGAATTTTTTATTTTATTTTATTGTTATACCTAATTTTATGTTTGTATATTTCTTTGAGAAATATCTCGTGTCGTGGCCATCATGATTATTTGTTCCTCAAGTATTACAGTCACGTGGCGCTAGGTGATATGGCGTAATTACCTTAGCAGCTAAACTGAAATAACTTAATTCTTTGGTTTTATTTCCTTGAAAGCCTCCAGAAGACGATGACAAGTCACCAGTGCCAGCAGATGAACACAGAAAAATTTTACCCCAGCCTGACAATCTGCTGACTGCATCATTTCTAAGTGGAGATTACTGTCTTGTTGGTGTGAGTACAAAGCAGACATACCTGAGTGAGCTTTGCAGATACGTACAGGAAGGCCCTCATTATTAGTGTTACAGGACGCGCTTTTCCCCGCCCGCAGGAAGATCTGAGACTAGTTGGGGTACTTTCCCAATGGTGACGAGACGCTCGTGCTGAAGAGCTAATAATTAGGGCCGTCCCGTTTTCTACTCTTTACGAGAAGTGCGTGGGTTCTTTAGCGTCCCCTGCTAACCAGTACAGAGATGTAGGGGACTGGGCCTACGGTTTATCGTCCTTACCCGCGAAGGCTAGAAAGTCTAACCTTTTTGCAAATGTCATAGCGAAGGCAGCATATTCCCATCAGTTATTTTAAGACCCTGAGTGTTAGTCTGGTGTGGGACGAATTTTGGTCATCTGTTCATATAAAAAAATTACAGTCCAATTTACCTGTGAACTGAGAAATAACAGCGAGTCATTTAGAAGTCAAATTGAACACACGCAACTTACTTTAAACTTGGGAATATGTGAGAGATCAAGTCGCAACAAGTTTTGCACCTGATTGCGGGAAGGGGCGGGTAGTTTACTCAGAGCCACTTGAAGCAAATGCACTCCCAGGTTGCTTTAACCCCTCCACTATTACGAGCGACTAGCATCTAATTTCTCTCTATTACCACTACGTAACAAAACATAAAGGTCACGAGAATATAGGAAATTACCACCCATTCATGAAGCTCTTCATGGTTAAACAAATTCTCCTTTTAATACCGTAGGAACTGTACAGAGAATAGTATGGAGAATGTGCATACTGATGCATACTGATGCACACTGATGTTAGGGTGTTTTTCGCTTGGTGTTTCTTTTCAGGGAGGGTCTGGCTGGTGGAAATATGAGTTTTGTTACGGTAAACAAGTGACGCAGTTTCACCAAGAGGTAGGGAATGTTTTTTACACAAACTAAGCGGAGAGATATTGCAGCATTTTTAAAATATTTCTTCTGCCTTTTTGGACATTGGAGGTCGTGTGGATAGGGTGTTAGGCCAGTAATCTGATGGCTCTAGGTTCATTCCTTTTATCCTGCTACTTATTTGTAATTGCATTTTGTTCTCGTTTGCACCAAGTTCAACTCCTTGGCTTTATGTAGCCTAATGGTCTACCTCCTGCCAGTTGGGATTTTTATAACACACGATGGTCTGACCATTTATGTAAACTTTAGTCGTTGTTCAACAACACTACGTTCTAAACTGTGTACAATTTAGCTGAACCTTTTATCTGAACATTTATTTTTGTGAACCGTGTCAATAGAGCCGAAGGCTACACTGGAAGGACATTTAGTTAATTAAATCAATCCTCTTATAAAGAATACCTGAGGCCCGTTGCTTACATAAAAACCTTACTCTGGGTTGAACCTCGTGTAAATAGCCGGCAATGTTGGGTTCCAGTTTGTTTGTATTGGCTCTGAACTGAAAAGCCCCATTGGGGGAGAGGCCAATTAGGTATACATACGTTGTGAATTGATGAATGACTAATTTTATTTTATTTTGTAGGCAAATGGTCCCAGAATAAATATACTTCTCGGAAAATGGGTGGAAAATGTATGTTGTTGTCTTGAAATGTTTAATTTGTACAGTTTGCATTGGCTAATTAAGCATGAATGAAATTCCAGTCATTTAGGGTAATTTATTATATGCAAAATAAAAAAAAAGCAAATAGAATATATGTACTACCCTGAAACAAACTTAGACGTAATCCTTACAAGAGTCCTCCCCAATTGATCACTCCTATTTAATAATCCGTTCACCATCTTAAATAAGATGCATGCCTAAGGCTGTGCTAACGGCTCGACCTTTTGCATATCGATTCCCCTCTTTCACTCGTTCCAATGCCTTGCATATCCACCGGTAAAAAGATCTGTTTTGAATTACAGGCTCATATCAGCTGGAAGAAAGATAAATGGGCAGGTGACGGGTAAGATATACCAGTTACATCTTCAAAAGTAGATGACAATTATTCACTGAAGTGGAGGCAAATATCCACCACTTTCACCGACACTGCGAGAAATAAAGTTTTTATTATTTTTTTAATTTATTTTTTTACGGAATACACCACACAGGAAGCACCGAAATTAGTGTACTTCTTTTAATAAACCAGTGATTTTGTCTCTTCGGCTGCTCGGAGTTGAATGATACCTGTTAGTCACTCCCGAACTGTTCAATCCGCGTGCGCTAACAGCACTATTCGCTCGTGTGGTATATACTAATCATAATTAGTAGTACATGA